CCGTAGTTGTCAGACTATAATTTGATGTAGTGTGGTAAATGAATGTAAGTTACTGTTTTAACATCCAATGTTCATCTAACATCAAAAATTTATTCATTCTGCTGTTATTTGCATCATTAGTTAGCATATAAGTTGATTTCATGAATGATGATAATGAATAATCTGTACAATTTTTAATACTTAAGATTCATTCAGAACCTCGCAATTAGTGGAATAAATTAATGGTTTCAATTACACTTTATACTTTTTAGTGTATAATCATTCACAATGTTTAAAAAACACAATTAAAATTAATAGAATATCCTAGCAACAGCTTGCGTTAGTCAGTTGTATCCATAGAGAAAGCCTAATATTTAGCTTATAAAACAATCAACTTTTGATTTCTAACCACAATTTCTCTTGACGGAAGATTATCAAAGGCCAAAATTACATTTCTCGCAAATTTTGAAGTATAATTAGTGGAAAAGTTAAAAGTTTGATAACTTTTTCCACTAATTGAAAATGTCTACCACAAATTTTGACGTTCTGAATGCTTACATTGAAATTAAAGGAACAAACTTCTACACTAATTGAAACCACTAATTTATTCTACTAATTGCGAGGTTCTGCATGAAGCTTTATGTTTAAATTTTATAGGTATTCAGATAGATATCAATATGATAAGCACCATTTTACTAATCTTACAGGAGAGCACTGGACGGCTGGTTAGAATTGCCAACTTTCAAAATAAAAAATAGAGGACAAGGAGGCAAAAAAGAGTTAAAGACCTACAACCTCGCCCAAATTTCAAGAATTTACCTAAAACTTAAGTACATATTATGTGTTTTTATTAAACATTGTGGCGATTTGGAATTTGATTTTGGCGTGTAAAAATAGTACTTTTTCAATTCATTTCAGTACAACGAAGAGGACTGTCCTGTGGTATAGCAACCAACCCAACCCTAAGCTGGTGGTTATAATTAGTGTTGGGAAAATTCGAATTAAATAATACGACTAATTCGATAGTAAATTAAAACTAACTAATTCGAATTATCTTTTTCGATATATCGAGATAAAAATTAGTAGTATTTTATATTATATCTGTGGTAACCGAATTACAAATGAACATAAAACATAACCTCTTATGGACAAATACGAATATTAGTAATTAGTATTGTACTATTAGTAGTATTCTTTCGTTCTGAACGAACTGAAAATTTTCACTTAAACTGATTTATAAAGGGAATCGGCAAAGAAAGGAACGATCCGATATAGAAAAATCCAGAAATCATTGTTATTTCCTATACCACATAGGAATAAATCAGTTTAAGTGAAAATTTTCATTTCGTTCAGAACGAAAGAATACTACTATTATTTGGTTCATTTCCATCTCACCCAAATTTCACCGAACACTAAAATTAATTTTCTTCTTTTATCTAAATAATTATTGATTGCAACTGATAAAATAAAAAGAAATACGAACCGCACGTAAACAAGGACATACTTATATCGTTTTAGAAGAAGCTTTTATTTTAGATATGAGCTTTTCAATAGGAATTGAAACAATCATAAACTCGGCACTTTTAAATTTAAAACTTTAAATTATGGTTTAATTTATTAAACGGCTTCGGCACAGTTAGTAGAATACATTGAATAAAGAATTTTTTTTTAATTTTTTATTCAGTGATAGAATATAGGTATGGCAATGGTTCAGAATTTGTTTAAAATAGCCCCTAGACGAGCACTAGCTGGGACGAATTTATTTTTAGGTTAAATTTATAATACTACTAAATAATTCGAATTATTAATTCGATTGTGAAATATGAATTATTGCTAATTATTCGATGGTGAAAATAATTCGATTATTCCCATCACTAGTTATAATGTTCTTTCCGTGCATTTTATATTTTTAGTAGACAAATATCATAGGATTTACCAACTTTATTGTCCTGAGTTTATATATTTTGTAGGAACCAGTTAGACCGACTATAATGTAAAATCCGGAAATTACGAAATTGGCGCTTATCAAGTTTTTTCGCTGGACTTTTAAAATATCTGGTTATGTTAAATAAAAATAATGAAAAATTAAATTCAACTAAAATATAAATATTACCTTATTTTTTTATACATATTCCATATAAACATATTTATTTTGTATTTTAATAAATAAATATTTTCATAATTTTTTCCAAGTTCCATTTTTTTTCCATTTTCCAAGTATTCATAAATTTCGATTCTTGGAAATAAAATTGTTTTCATTTTAACGAAATGGTACTAATTAAACGTAAAAATGTTAACTAATTAGTTGAATGGTTTAAAAACAGTTAAAAACACGTCTAATAACTTAATAAGAGCGCAAATTCGGCGAGTAAAGACAGGAGATTGTTGAACCGGATCGCAACCTACACGGCGATTTAGATTTTGGGCCAACAACTTGCTTGTTATGGCTCATCACCAATTTTCAATTGTTAATTCAAAAGACAATTGCGTATTAGAAAATGTGTTCTATTTCTTAACGTAATACCTATATTACTGATTGAAATTTTGTATCACGTACCGAATACCGTGTGATCGAAAAATAAACAGCGTTATGTTGGCTAGAGCACAGAATAAATATATACGCATAGCTAGATATACGCGTAGCTAGATATTCTGTGATAGTAACGTGTAGCTATTATGTACAATGTACAGGTTGGGTCAAATTGGACGCTTTTAAAGGGAAACACCCTTTTCTATAGGAGATTTTTCTCACACAACACCCTTTTCTTTCGTCTGGAGCTCAATTTTCATCAAAAACATGATGGTGAAAACCGTACATCAATATCTGTTACCGTTTCGGAGTTACGGGGTGTTTTTCAAAAATGTGCATTTTTAACAAATCGTTGTAACTTTTTTGCTATGGAAAATTTTGTATTTCTATGAAAACATTTCCAAAGCTCCTTTTTATGTAGAATTTAATGGTTTAAGTATATTTTTTTTAAAATTAATAATTTAAGAGTTATCAACAGAAAAAATGATTTTTTATTTTGGACATCCTGTATATTTTTAATTAACTGAAAAGAACTTAAAATTACCTTTCCAAAAATATAGCATACTTGATATTTTGTTATAATCCCCTTCGAAATACAGAATTTATAAAAGTTCGCCACTTTTAACTAGTATATAGGCTTTGGACCCCTTATTAATGATATGCCCCTAATGTAATGTAACTCGAGCAAAGTTATCAGCAAATTTGTGCAGCCAATTTCAAGAATAATTGAATAGCTAACCAAGATCCCAGCCATTGGCAGTCGCTGAGGCCGCCGACTTCGAGGGCCTATGGATCTAATCCTATGGATATATTTGCGGAAGAATAAAGGTTCTTATTTTTAAATTGCCCGTCTAATCTAGACAAGAATTAGAAATACTTTGTTATGAGAGGGTATCTTTCACCCTCACTAAGTTAATGAATTCCGCGAGAAACCATTTCTCTTGCAAAAACGGCCCCGTCTGTCCATATCAGAAAACGGTCGATACGTCGAACACCTGTAGCAAAATCTCATGTCTTGGTATGCTATTTATTTTTATTGTTATTAGATATAGTTTAAATGTGTTGAAGTTGGTTAAATATAGTTTAAATTGTTATAAAATTCTGCATCTCTCATAGCATATATTATTTTCGTTTTAATTGATGCTCACAGCTAGATTTTTTTTGCATTACAGCCGGCACCGTTCAAAGCCTACTTATTTAAAGTGGGCGAATTTTTATAAACTCTATATCTCGAAGAGGAATCGAGCAAAGTATCAAGTGTGCTATATTTTTGGAAAGGTAATTATAAATTATTTTCAATAAATTAAAAATATACAGGGTGTCCTATATAAAAAATCAAATTTTCTGTTGATAATTCTTAAATAATTAATTTTTTTAAAAATATACTTAAACCATTAAATTCTACGTAAAAAGGTGCTTTGGAAATGTTTTCATAGAAATACAAAAATTTCCATAGCAAAAAAGTTACAGGGATTTGTTAAAAATGCACATTTTTGAAAAACACCCCGTAACTCCGAAACGGTAACAGATATCGATATGCGGTTTTCACCATCATGTTTTTGACAAAAATTGAGCTCCAGGCACCGATATTAGTTTTCGTCTATTTCCTATAGAAAAGGGCGTTTCCCTTTAAAAGCGTCTAATTTGGCCCACCCTGTACATGACGTGTTCTTAGGATCAATCTACTCAGGAAGGAACTATTCATTGAGGAGGCAGTGTCCTGTTAAAAAGCCCGTGACTCCCAAATTTGTTTGTATTCTCGAAAATCTTTTATTTTTCTCGGTCGTAAGTCCTGAGAAATTTCTTGAAGTGTCAGATCGTTGGAGAATTCCTATTCCAGGTTATTGATAGTATCTTTCAAGTTCTTGACTTCCGCTTTAAGTTAAGAGTGTTGGCTCCTTTTCTAGCTAGATAGATTTCTTTTTTGTTACCCCTTGGTGGGCTGGCACTCGGAGTAAAAGGACTTTAATTTCTTTGGCTAATTTGCTTAGCTTCTCTGGACATTCTTTGACCCACTTCGACTTGATGGTTACTGAGTTGATTGTTTGACTATCGGATAAGACGGTTATTTCTTGTTTCCGATAGTTACTATCTAAGATAAGTTCCACGCATCTTTCGATAGCGTAGATTTCTGGTTGGGTGGTTAGATATCAGTATTATCGAAACGCTTATATTTTACTTTTCCTGTATTGGTAGTTAATGCAATTAGGGAAAACTAATCCATCGTTTTTGGCTGTTTTGGCGCATCCATGTGACAAAAAGCAACAAAACGGTACATTTCCTCTCCAGCTCGGGCGTCCTTATTGTCCGAGCGGCGTGGCCGACAGCCGCTTTGTTACGTGCGGCATTTTTGAACGGCGTCCAAAAGTGCGTAAACGTGATTTACGGTCCGCTTATAACGACGCCGACGCCACCGACGTCGGCGGCTCTGCCTCTCGACAGAACCGATTAAGGTTGGTCAGTTATTTCACACACGTAGATAGCAGCTGAGACGGCTGGAATTCGCCAGACGAGGTTTTTTCCGGACACGGGTATGGCTAAAAATAATTTTATTTTCAGTTTATTGATCGACGTTCGAATGCCGTTCGGATATTTATAAATTCGCATTATTTTGGTGAATCTTTGTGGATCAAATGCATCATGTAAGTGAGGCCAACTCGTGGAAAATTTCCCGAATCGTGAGAATTTTGCGAGATCCAGATGGAAAAGGGGAAATGTTAACACCAAAATACCATATTCGTGGGAAATTCTAAAATTTATGTATTCGTAAAAAAATAGTTAGTATAGTCTGTCCAACGAGAAGATCCTTGACAGTGATAGATGTGTCTGTCATTTTAATTTCAAAGTAATTTATTTTATTTTACAAAGAAATAAGTTGCTACAACTGGAACGCATAGCAGGAAATTAGCATATTTAAAATTTGACTGACAAGTGATTACTTCAAAATATTGTGAAAAAAACTGTAACTGAAAAAATGTAATCCAGTTATTTTATTAAATAAGAAACGGTATGTGTTAATACAAAACAAACAAGAACAAGACACCACACACCAAAAAAATATAAAAAAGAACTATTTCTTACTTTCAAGCTTTATTAAACTTCCCGCATTTATGATTATATTTATCAATATAACTTATGTACAAATACAAATTTGTAATATTCCGCAGAAATAATTAAAACAACATAAATAAAACAAACTATTTTATTAATAATAACACTTACCAAATTTTATACCTTAAAGGTTGATTAATTAACTTTAATCTTAATTTCTTTAAACCAGTACCTTTTGACATTATTTTTCTGGAGTACTAAAATCCATTATTTACCGATCGTGTGATGTCGATATTTTACAGCTACTCCAGTTTTTAGTATGTGTTTAGTATGGTCCTTCTACCATATTCGAGATGCACTTATCTACGACAAGATGGTGTACGAACTTTATTGATGGTAACTTTATTTTTATTGGTGTATCTGTATAAGACTTTCTGCCTCGGCAGCGAGTACTAACCATAAACTGTGCTCTGGGTCTACAGTTAATTTTCACTCGATTTTTCCTCCACTTGACTTCAAAAGACACAAAACACACGTAATAACACGAATCAAAATGCATCATCTTCCAAAACGCAGGGTATTTGACAAAAGTTGTCACCAAATTATAACCTATAATTTGCCAAGACTTTGACAAGCGTCAAAAATCTAAAGGCGAGTTCATACGCATCGGCGTCCGTTTGTCGTTCATCGTTCCGTCAAACCAATAAAATTGAAATACGATCTGTCATTTTTGAAATAAACCAATAAAACTGGTTAAAAACAACAAGAGACGACGCATGACGGATTTATATTTAAACCCATCCATAGTTAACTTAAAAATTATTAGAAACTTTTTTTAGTAAAATAAATAGATTGGTATGGGACGTCATCTGCTTTTCTTCTGTCATCGTCTGTCGAAATCTTACCTGAGAAAAAAAAACAGAGTATATCGTATACGTATTTAGCAAACCGAGTAGATTGAACCACCTTTTATAATGATAACTCGGTAAAAATAAAAAGCAGTTCAAATTAAGTTTAAAAATTAATACTTATTCTTATTAATTGCTGTTTAAAAATTATACATTCTTATATTATTTAAATTAATATATATATTAGTTTTTTTCACTTACTTTTAAAAAGTATGCATATAATATAAACCTCTATAAAAATGTAGCTTAAAAACTTTATTTATATATAGTAATTTGTAGTAGTTTATTTATATATGTCTATATAAATGATTGTTGATAAGATCAGTAAATTGCTCTCTTGGTATATCATTAATAGTTTACGTTTCTTAAAATGGTCAAATCAAACAAAAGCAGTAATATAATAGGAAAATTAACAAATAATCCATTAAAATGGTATTATTTTCTACTCAATGCTCTAGAATCGTTTACTAGGCTGCCATGTTTGGGTGCCTTGTCGCATTCCTGGGATGTCGTTTATAGACGAGTTTATAATTATATACACGCTTAAAGAACATTAATTGTTAATTATACTTGTAAGTGTAGCTAATTTACCATTTATTAGTTCTCTAGAAAAAATAAGAAAAACACAGTTTTTATTATAAGTACAAAATTGTTGGGTTATAATTTTTGTATTTTTAGAAAAAAAAATACATACTTATATGTACATTCGTTAAAACAATCGTGATTGGAAAACTATCGTAATTCACTGGAGATTTATAATTCTATTATTGAATAATAATCTACAAGAATCTGTCATATAGCAGCTAATTGAGTTTTAATATTTATTTTTTATAATTTTTAATTACTGCTGAATCAATGAATTAACGCTGAATAACACCGATCTAATGTCTACTAACTCTAAGGATGTAACCTTTATACTATTTGTAACATAGTACCACGACATCCTGAGGGATAATTGATTACCGAATTTTAAAAAAATGTATTTGTAATTATGTTTACTGGAAGGCGCTTAGTAGTATAATAAATTTTAGTTTGATTTTTAGTAACTAGCAAATCTTCAGCGTCAAATTTTACTATATTTTATTTGATTTTGTACTAATTGTTTTTAGTTTATTTGATATTATTTGGATATTCTTTTTATTTTAGTGATACATATTATGGAATTATTCTTACAACGATACGTTAAGACTTGTGAATTTGATTTAGCCGTCTAACATTATACAAATTTAACTTTGTTCTCTTTTCAATATTTGGTATTAGTTTTTGACAAGTTTTATGTCAATTTTTATTAAATGACGTCAATACCTCGCCAAAGTTATCCTCGAATGTAATTTCCCAGCCGTCTTTGACACCGTTTTTCCATCGTATAGTATTTGGTACTTAATATAAACGCGGTTGTTTAACTATGCTCTATAACTAATGGAAAACCACGAACTTGTTTAAATGATTCACTAAACTAATTTGTGTTTTTTTGTTGTTTCAGGTAAGAACAGGCAAACAAGGATCATTTAAATAATCCAATGTAGATAATAAAATGAAAATCAGTAAGTAAAGTTGACATCCACAGAATCATAAACATTCAGTTATATCTTTATTTTCGCAAAAACACGAACAAAATACGATTCACTAAGAAATGTTTTCGTGCCATGTAAAAGTGTGTAAAAGGCTTAGGACTAATAAGACATATAAAAAGACGTGGATCTTCCAAAAATTATCATATCAAAATTTATGTCAGCGTACGTATTGCCATTCTCGCCACTAAAGAATGAAGATAATATAGAAGTTATAAATAAAAAAGGCTTTATCTTGTTGGAATTGTCTTTGCAGTTAATTTAAATTTAATTCAAATATTATTTTAGCAATTGCTATTTTTAAATTTATTGTAATTCGATACTTGTTGTTTGTTCAAATACATCAATGAGTGTACAAGTATAAATAGTTCAATTTTAATTCTAGAAGATAACAGATTTTAATCACTTTTAGAAGTTATTTATGTTTATTTAGCCTCTTAAAAGGATCTACTCATAACTACTTTGAAGTATCGCTGCGATCCTCGTCCAGTGGCGTTCTTTTAAATCTGCAACTTCTTTAAGTTATTAATGGTGGTTGTTACCCAATTGAGAGTTCAAATCCTAAATTTATTAATACAAAACCATACTAGAATGAAATAGTTTTAATTTTGCGAAGACTTTATATCTAGGGTTCAATATTTGAATATTGCGAACTCTTTCTGACTTTATTATATTTCTTTCCTGATAATTTTATCCAGTAAAGCTTCATTTAGAATAAGTACTCTCTAATTCAAATCATTATCAAATACCCGTTCTGTAATCAAATAGATAAGAACAGATGGTGTAGGAAATATTGCATGGAGGTTTAAAGTCATGGAACAACTTTTTAAGGTCACGGAAACAGTTATGTATCTGGTATTTGAATATGTAACTTCCATTAATAGATATACTCACACTAAACCAAATTATTTAACATGGCCAGCAAACCCAGCTTGAGTGAAATCATGACTCCATGTCATTATTTCTACCACTGTCCAAGTTTCTAAGAACTTTGAGTTTCAAATCTATCACTGAAGCGTTTCTAACCAGAAACCAGCAAACCAAGAGATGCATATTCTGTTTACTTAAAACAATTCCATCATCTACACAGCTCTCCATCTCCGATATCAGTCAAAATCCAAAGTTTGCGACACGTCCCGCACACTGAGTGATGACCGGCACACCCGCGCTGGTGTTTCCTTCCCGCACCCCATTCACGCCGCTGCCTTCAGTCAACCACCGGTGCACCACGAAGAACCCGGCGAACTTGAAACATCGTTCCGCCGCAAAACCGCATGGCAAACCGAGTGATTACTCCACGAGATCACCCGCCACGGATGGTTTCTCCAGGTTCTGAGTTCCGCTCGTTACCGCTGCACCGGAGCAGTTTAACGCCTTTAGAACCAGCCATGGCGCCCGCCTGATTGCTGAGCTTTTTATCCTCTTCCATCCCTTTGCGGTCCGCCACCAGAACCTCATCCTCTGGCTTCAGCCCGTTCAGCTTCAGTACCTTCACCCCGAGAATGGTTAGCCACCACCTGTCGCTGTCTGCCGGTGAGATTACTACTCCGACAGTTCTTTCCTCGTGATAAGTTGTTGCATCTTTCGATAGCGTAGATTTCATGACAGTATGCTGGGTAATAGAAAGTCACGGTTCTGGCGAATTTTCGCCCACTCATCCTCCTGTTCACTGGCTTCCTGGAAGACCTGCATACCCAGTGAGCTGGTAGGGTAACAAATTCATTTCTATAATGCGCGAAGCCCTGTTCGAATCAGTTCCTTAGAAGTCACGCCGAGCGGATTTAGGAAACAAGCAATACGATATACATCTAATATATAAATTTAAAGCCACAGCTTGGCTACTCTGAATATTTAAAACAATGAACTGAATTTAAGATGCAACTGAAAGTAGATATGAGACTAGGTTGTGCCACGATTTTACAACCAAGTGATATAAGAATCAAAGAAAAAAATTATCTTTTTTTGAAAAAAATTATTTTTTAATTCTTTTAAGATAATTAA